CACATTTATTGATTTTAACGATTATTATTTATAATTTGCGTCTTTCCTACGACAAAAAGAAAAAAAAAAAAAAAAAAAAGAGAGAGAGAGAGCGAATGGTAGGAATTGGATTGTACGGCTAGTTAGCGTTATTATTTATAACAACGTAGAACTGTGACATAAAATGATGGTAAATATAAGGTCATTCCCAAATAATATCGATTTATGAATCACATTTTGAGGAAATAAAAAATAAGTTAATTTCATTAACTACAATTAAATGGCAGAAAAACTGGTGCAAACGTCTAATATTAGGTAGGTCCTCCAAGGAAACGAACGATCACAGAACTACGACGAGGCATGGATTCTACGAATTTCTGGAAATATGCTGTAGACAAAGCATACCTCTACACTTCGGGTGTATTCCGAGGTCTTGCTTTCTTTGTTCGACAGTACATTGCACGGTATCCCAAATGCGTTCCTGTAAGGGAATGGCAAAAGTCCAAACTTATACAGATGCTCCTATAAGCTTAATGTGGCATTTGTTTGGAGGTGCATTGCCCTGCTGGAACAGATCAATTCATCAGCATGAATCCATGACAAGAAACGTGTACTTCTTTAGAAAGGATGCGCACATATCGCTAACCAAATATAAACGAAACTTTTACAGACATACCAAGGATCTCAATAATTTCCAGTTAAACAAACCCCGTACAATTACAGATCCTACATCAGCAGGTGCAATTATCTATTACCAGGTGGGTTCCACGGTTTCATGTGAATTAGCACCGTGCATGATTTTTTACACCTGCCAGTACAGTTCCAAACGCGGTTTTTCGACCATGCTACTGGTTTTCAGCTATTTAAGTGTCCAGTATCGATGTTACCGTGCCCAAACAAAAGCTAGTTCCGTACAGCCATCAATTGGATCCTGTAGAATCCGCCGCCCGCTCAGTCAGTATCCTGTAGAATATTCAGACACTAAATGGTGTTGTGGTTCCAACACTAAATTCCGATATTACCTGCCAAAGTACTGAATGCCTATCACGTGAAACGATTCCTGACAACCAATGATGGTCAAGTTCACCCAACCTCATTTTCAGGTCATACTTGTGTCGTAAATTGGAGGTTTTGTCGGAATTCTTGTATTCCGGCATATCTTTGCAATGATCGTCTACGAAAATCCGAACTTAATTTCTAACTCCGAAATTTAATGGTCACTTCACTAGCGCTAACAATGACAGCGCTTTGAAATCAGTCTAAATCATCGTCATTTTTTCTTTCTCACGCTGTATACAGCTTTAACAGGGATGCCTGTCACTTTATGTACACACTGGCGGACGCAACGAAATATGCAAATAAGTGGCGCTTCTATATACTTCGCGTTAGCTCCTCTGTATCAGTTTTTTTGGCACTTGGATGCAGTATATATTCCCCGCCTGAAGCAATAACATTCCGCCTGAAGGCTGTAATAGCTATGTCATTCCTAAAGAAATTAGCCAGCTTATTTCTAGGAAAAAATACTGATGGTCCGTTTTTCAAGTATTTCATGGGATGGCTTCTTTTCTATCAATGAAAATTTGCAACTTTTCACCAGAAATTAAACAGCTCATAAAAAGAGAATTTTTTTTCGCTTGAATGAAGAGCAGTACATATGTTCACACATTCCCTTCGGTTAGCGCAAATATGTTTATGTGGACCCCACCAGCCAAACTTAGATACGATTCAGGTTGCTACAGATAGAATAAACATTTGATGATGATATATTAACCTCTTCTGTTGACTCTTCTCTTCAATAGCTGCATATGGATTTCTTTCAATTGCAGTTTTCTTCATTATATAAAAAAAAAAAGTAGCTGGCGTCTTTCAAGCTAAAGTCGCCTTGCTGATATTTATCGAACCATCATTGCCACTTGAAAATACTCAAAACACCTTCACCATGTACTTCCTCCATATTTTTATAGTATTTTCTGAACTACTGCCTTTTTGATAAAGTATGATGTGTTTCATGAATTCTTCTGTGAGTGCTATTTTCATGAGCGGCTTATTAAAGTAACAGATTAGTAGCTGTTATATTTGCAAATCAGAATTTATCTGAATGAAGATGCCTTTACTCAGTGGTATTAACACATTCGTGAAAATCATCTTGTAAGGATTATGTTAATTTTATTAACAGTTAAATTTTAAGTTCCTTTCCTGTCAAATTTTTAACTTCAACTTACTACTTCCGGCCAGAACGTAGTTTTGGAATCTTGCTGAATATTTAATGTGGAGGAGCGGTATTTAAACCACGAAGTTACTTACTGAGTCAGAGAGAATCAGAGTTTCTGATTTACGCGCGTCTGCCTTTTTGGCCACTCTCTCTCTCAAAGCTGTTATTACGCTCGGCCGTATTCAGGCCCTTGCTAAGCTTCGAGAGTCAAATAAGTTAAGGGGGCAACTCGATTTGAACCTTGATAGCTTCGGCTATATTTCTTTAGTTAATCTTAGTTTTAGTTTAATTCTTAGTCTTTTAAGTTCAAGTGCAAGTGCAGACTTTGTTTGTACACTCCCAGGAGGAGTTTTGTTAAATCTTATTGGAATAATAAAGGATTAGTTACCCTTCTATCTTGTTGTTTCTTGTTACCGAACTTTAGCGATTATTTGCTTATCAGTTTTTAGATTCTTCACTTCCAACATTAACTTAGAATTACAAAGTGAGGAACTCTACAATCTGTTTGAATGTGTTAGAACATGTTTTAGTAAGTCCTGTCCGGAAAAGATATAATTTATGGGATTGGTAGTTGATTCTAACAGATTGTACGTTTAAATGGCATAAGTCCACTTAAATGCGCCTTTTTAAATTAATCTTAACTTTAGTGTATGTGCTAAATCAACATGCCAAAATAATAATGCACATCTCTGTGTTGAAAATTTTCACCACTATCATTCAGTGGAATTTTCATTCACCATCGTTTAAAAAACTCAAATTTGTTTAAAAAACTGATATTTGGTCAATTGTTAGCACTCACATATTTGCCAGAAGAAGTTATTTGAAGAGCAATAAATATAAAAAAATGTGTATATCATATCTGTATTAAATTAACTGTAGAAAATATTGTTTTATTATAATAATTTGATAGGCCCTTTCATTGCTAAAATTTCAGAAAGCTCAAGTACTGGGAATAGCAGCTTGAAAAGCCAAATCCCACCAATCTCTGTATGAAAAGTTCTTCAATGCGGTAAACTAAGCATTATCATAAAATGCATAATTATCATATTTAGTGCAATACTGCAGTCAAAAAAAAAAAAAAAAAAAAAAAAAAAAAAACCTCTCTCTCATCTGAAATGATATTTTAAGACAGTGCTGTCTTAATCAGACAAATTTATTATGTATGTTTGATGCATACTGTCTAAGTTTGATGTATACTCAGAAGAATTTTGTTTCCATACTTTATTAACTTCATTGAACTCTATTAATATCAATAACAAGTTTAATATGTACTGTAAATTTTGGAAATTTTATTTCCACACTCTATTAAAAAAGACTATGAAGCAACAATAACTAACTTATAGAGACAAGTCTAGCTGAAGCTAAGGTTGAAGGCAGAATGTCCGAAGAATTGAAAGCCCAAAATGTCATATTCCTCATTTAAGGTTGTTTGCTAGCCTGATCCTTAAACTACTGTTGAACTAAAATTGTAATACAGTGCAACATAATGATTTTATGAACATTCATTTAATGTATTGACTAAGCTATTGGAAACAATCATATTGACTGCTACTATAAACCAATCATACTGCTGATAGTTCACTATCAGGTACAGAAATCTTCATGTCAGAAAAAAATAAGAACTCAATCAAATGCATTACTATAAATCTATAGTCTTTTGCATCTACATTGTTTTAGATATTTCATAAACAAGTGAATACAGATGGTCTTAAATATCACTTTCAATACAGATGGTATATCAAAGAATACAATACAGCACTATACACTCGCTTTGTCCTTATGATTTTTCTTCTAAAGAATTTTTTTTAGGAATATAGCATGCAGTATTTACTTACACAGCATTAAAATATGTACCTATTTATATATTATTACATTTAGAAGGCTTCTGACAACATTAAGCTAGAACATTTAAATACAATGAGGAAATTATGAGTTACAATCACATTAGCTGCCATGACTGCTCATATAGAAAATTTGTTTTAGGAAAATTTTTTAGTAATTTCCTGACCAATGCATCTTAGATCACTTTAATATGAGTATTAAAAAGAAAATTTAAAGAAGCTACATTATCAAAATTCAATCATTTTTTTATAATGCTTATTAAATTAAGCAAAAGAGCAACCTTATGTTGGCACAGATTTTGACTGAGGCTCAAGAAAGCATTTTTAGTTTCCTTTGCCTATTTCTAACATTCTATATAATTAAAAAAATAAATATGCAAATGCAGAATTTAAAATATGGCAACTAAGCAACCAAAGACTGATGTAGAATTTAAATAAAATTCTATGGATTTTGAGGGCATAAAGCCTTCTTGCTCAGGAATGACAACTTTTTTCAATCCAGTACAATTCTTTTACTCTGAAGAAGACAGACCTATGTCTAATTGCTGTCAAAATCAATTCTACCCATTTCAATGAAGGTAATATTTTACAAATATTTAAGTTTGCTATATAATGTTAAAGTATTACATTTAAAAATTTTCTGACCACTGGAAATAGTATCATTACAAATTTTGCACTTGTATCTCAAATGCAAAATTTGAGGTCTTCTAACATACCACTAAATGGTGTTCTATCATGGCATGAATACATATTATCACTTTTACTTTATCTTTATTTTTTTTTCACTCTAATATTCAACAAAGCAAAAACAAAATGCAACAGACACTAAAAAAGAAATTGCAAATTAAAAAATATAGGAGTGTACCATATCTCATTACTTTTAATTCACTTTATCAGTCCTTGCAATGTTAAGCTGAAAAACAAATCAAACTGCAAAAAATGACCTTAAGAAAGTCTTCAGTACTTACAGGCAAGCCATGGAGGATCATTTCAGCAACATTGCTTCCCATTATCTGTAGATCATCACTAGAGACACTGGACGTAGAGCTATGGTAACTGTGTCTATGCACAGTGGTTTCAATGTGGATGTGTTTAGAATGAGATTTCTGAGAGACAACCTGGCATGATATAAAAACAAACGTTTCACATTAAGAGATAAATCGAAAAGCAAAGAATTATGTGTTTCTTTATAAATTTATCTTAGATAATAAAACTTGTAAAATTGTGTAACCTTTAGTGCAGAATTGTTAAAAAAACACACATGCTCCCCTCTTACATTACATTACAGGCAAATAAAAGCATTTTATACAATTCATTTATTTCAGTCAGTAAATGAATACATAACTTAATAACTAATTATTAAAAATCTTATTAAACACATAATTCTTAACTGACTTCACTAATTCAGTAATTGTGGTCAAGATATAAAACTTATTTCATGGTTAGGAATTATTATTATTTTTTTTTTAATGTAAAGCTCTTCATTTAACATTTATTGTCACTGAATAGTTTAAGGATTTATAAATGCTACAACAGCTCCATATAATTTGTACTTTTGAACTAATATTATTATACTGCAGGCTTTAAGTGTCAGCATTAAAATTAAGATAAACAATCTGGACTGCACATAGCAAACAGTTTGTTAATGTGTGAAGCTTATATTTCTGGACACAACCCATTTGTATATATACCATGCAGATATAAATAAAGTCTTAAAGGGTAATAGTCACTTTTTCACAACTTTACACATGGTTTTTACAAAGGAATGAAAATTGAGATGACACCTCTTAAATATTTAAATATAGTTAATTTCATCTGAAATATATTTATTTCTCATTGAGATAAGTTTTCATCTCTCAAATGTACTTATTTTCTTATTCAGACTGTGCTAACTTTAAATGTCTACTGGCATCATTACAAAACTTCCTGGTATTACACATTAGGCACAGGAAAAGAAGAGGGAAGAAGATTTACTCAGAGAAGAGAAGCATATTATAGGGAAAAGAAGGACTTGGAGATTTGATTGCAATACTATTTTTACCTACATTAATACTTCAAAAATAACAAAAAATTATTTGTTCATTTTTGTCCTTAGAATACTTAAGACACAATGTGCATCATTATTCTAAAATCAAATCTTAAGAAGTGCAACAGTTTATACACAGCTTTAACATGCTGAATTCTATTTCAAAATTCAGCATGTTAAAGAAGTCTATTTAACATGTTGAATTCTATTTCAGAGAAAGATTTTATTTACTGATTACTCTGATTACTCAAGTATCAGCTGCTACTAAATTTAGAAGTTTTAAATTTAAAGGTAGTTAAAAAGTTTCAGATTCAGCATAAGCATATAAGAACAGAGAATAGCATTTCATCACCCACCTTAAAATATATTGTATTTACACTAAAACATTCAAGCAGTTCTAAAAGAAATTCCAAAATATACCTAAAGGGAACTCTACAATCATATCCATATTCTGCAATACATTTCTACCCCCCAAACAAATGCACCAAAGAAGAAAAAACTTTTTTCAAATTTTACAAAAAAGATATCCTAACATGTGCATTACTTAAACACATAACATTGATTTTTTGTTTCGCTAAAAAAACTTTTAGATTTTAACTGTTGGCAATGATTTATTCACCTTATCTGATCCTGAAGCTCTTCCACTGTCCACACTAGACATACTATGCCTAGATGATGTGCCACTAGCACTACTCCCACCTGGACTGGGACATACATCAATACCCTGGTCTTCTAACATAGCATGGCACACTAAAAAATTTGCAAATAAACATTATTTTACCAAGTCTTAATCAGTTAATAAAGTTGCAAAGATGTAAACTTTTTTTTGAAAATATAATAAAGCATTTTAGTAAGATGACTAAGTAGTATAGTAAGATGACTACCTGATGTAGATCCCAAAGGACCAGGCGGGTTATCAACAGGTGTTGAAGGCTGACTTCCAGGTTGAGCATGTACAATTACTTGAGTATACTGACTCTGCAAAAAGGAAAAGATTATTAAACATGTTTAATGATTTAAAAAACAAATTATGAAATTTGTAATGGTATTTACAGATTATATTAAAATGTTAACTTCACAGGAAGGAATAAAAACAAATGATAAACTTTTTTTTAAAATTAAAATTTAAAATACTGAAAACTAACATAAGTTACGCAGCATAAAATTAAGCACTTGTTATTTCTATACAAAAACTCAAAATAAAAAATAAAATAAATAAAAAAAAACCCTAAAAAATTTATCAAAAATGAAAAATTTGAGACAGTTTTTTTTAATTTAACTGGCAATAACTTTTCTGCTAAATTTATCAGAAAATATGTACTTCAGATTATGTTATTGTTTTCTATTGTACTTACTGAACACAGAAGCTCTCAATCAGGGAGGAAATTTTAAAGTTTCAGGGGAGGTAGGAATGAAAGCAGTTTATTTATTTACCAGTGAAGTATTTAATTTTACTACACTGCTTTTACTATTACTAACTAAACTACTTTTATTCAATTTTAAGTATTTATCAACATTTTCTGTGTTTTTTTTTCTTGTTTAATTTACAAAACACATTTAAAAAAATCTAAATTTAGATAAATGTATATCTATTTTTCACATTTTAGGAACAAAAAGGAGGATGTTTGTCTAACAATGGTGAAAGAGGTACATGGGGAAGAAAAGGTTGAGAGCCATTAAGTAGAGTTTATTAGAAAACACAAAAATTTACCTGCACATCTGGAAAACAGAAATGTGAAAGCTTTGTTGGAGAAGGCAATGTTCCAAATGCATCTGTGAAGATAAAATATTCAAGTTTTTTAATCAATACTGAAAAATACATATTCTACAGAATGACAAAATATGAAATATATCTCATATTTATAAAATGATATGTATCTACACAAAAATTTCAGAATGAATATTACATGGGATATAACTATATTTACTACTTGATCTAATTTATAATGAGAAGATATAATAAATTAGATAAAAAAATTGTGTGAAGTCATGCATATTTTTTAAAATTAGAAATGTTAATAAAACATTTCTATAGATATAATCTCACATTTAAAAACTACATAAAAAATTTTCAAATATTTATGAGCTTCAAATATCAGTAAAACTGAGAAAGTTTGTAAAAAATTTAATAATTATTAAAAAAATATCCATCAAAACAATAATAGAATTTAACTAGTTTAATATAAATGCAACAAGAAACTTAAAAATAAATACTTTACAGCATTTTTATTAGCAAAAATGTAAAAGTTTACTTATGAACCATTCATAATGTTTTTAACATAATGGTTCACTTATGAATCATTCGTAATTTTCTGAAAATTACTCGCCCCAATGGTATACACTTAATCTTAATATTCAGAGGCGCCCTTCATTCACTGGCAGAGAACACACAAATGTAAAATTCGAAATTAAGGGGGGGGGAACCTAAGCTTGGCATAGATCGTTTTCACGGAAATTTCTTTGCCTTCCTTTTTTTTTTTTTTTTTTTAAATTACATAAGCAAGGGGGGGGACTCTGAAGAAAGTTCTTTGCTCCTGAAGAAGAGAAACCTGTGCTTGATTATCTTCAAAATCGATTAGTTATTCAAAATCCAAGCCAAATTATAGTTGCTTTTTGTCTAGTTTTAATTGATTAAATAAAATCGAAAACAAGCTGTTTAGCAAGATGTTTCGCAAACCTTTATAACTTATTTTGACCTTATTTGGTGATTTTATATTTTGTTTGGCGATTTTATTTGAGTTTTGAAAAAATTATACTGTAATATTTTTATCATATTAACCAAATTGTTGATCGCAGTAAGCGATGTATTTTCCATACATCGTTTTCACATACAAATGGAGGAAGTTTGGCAATTTGATGACAACATAAGAATGATAATTTTAACCGCGACCATATTAAGCGGCGTACAATTTTATATTAAAAAAATATATAAATACTTATTATATTCTGTTACTGGAAATGTCCATAAGCTTTTCATATCGGTAAAACCAAGAAAGTTTTTTTAAAAAATTGTAATAATTACACTATTATTCACTTAACACTTTCAGTTTAAGATAACGAAAAATTGTATTAATATCAAAACTTTCAGCTTTCTCCATTTGATATAAATTTGCAAAATTTTGAAATGTTCACTATGAACTTACCAGAATTAGGAGAATTAGGTGGAGGCGAAACGGGTTCATCTGTATTTAAGCTGCCACAGGAGTTTCTATCCACAGTTGCCTGGCTTCCATAACCACTTGAAAAACTTGACCCCGAATTTCTGTAAGACAGTTCAGGCACCACTGGAGGAGGAACCTTCTTCATGGTTCCACTCTTCAGGGTTCCTGTCCTCTGAACTCCACCAACTGCAAGATACAATAATTACTTATTAAAAACCTAAAACATACAATAATCTTGCGTAAAACTGTATCACAATTTTAGATGATACGTTATATATATAAAATAAGAAGCAATCTTATATTAGAAAAAATGAAGAGGAAAAAAAATGTGTGTGTCGTGGACTCACTCAACCAATCAATGTTTAGCAATGCTAAACAATGTTTTTACCCAAACCATTGTTCACAGTGAAATTTTGGTTAATTAACCATTTACTTTGTTAACTTTAATGCTTATCGTTGAAGTTTGAGTTATGTTGTAAAATATAATAATTGATTCATTTTCGCTTTATCTTATTAAATATTATTTATTTATCATTTAATCTTATTGCCAAGTCTCAAAATGCATTATACAACTTAAAAGTTGGATTTATTGTCTACCTTTTGATTCTCCCATTCTCATTCCCAAGCAATTCGTACCGTAGCGAGTTTCACGCGTTCGCTTATTCCATTTGTTAGAGAATCGGGAGCTTCTGCGATTATAAGAGCTCCCAATTCGTATGTTATTGTATGAGACAGTCAATGTTGGCAATGCAAAACAAATTGAATTTTTTTTAATGAAGCATTATTATTTTGAAGAAAGAGTTTATGTCTGCCCATTTCATTTCTTTTCGCATAATACAAACCGTCTACTTGTCATTTGTATTTTTTATGTTATAATTCTACCTCCCCCCCAAATGTTGGCTTTTCTTATACAGGAAAAAATAATAATAGCGTAGGCTCTCTTTTCGTTTAACAAAGATTTAAATGGTGTTTACATAGGGAGTTAACCAATAAAAATACGAGATAAAGAGAAGCATGAATTGTAGATGTTACGTAAATAATAATTATTCTCAAGTTGATGAACAACACAGATTTTACTTCCACATTCACAACGCGATAAATTTTGTGGAAAATATATGTATGGATAAAAAACAATATTTTTAGTATTTCCTTTTAAACAAAAAATAGGTTACACTTGAAAAATATTAAACAATAAAATATAAACAGTAATAATAAAATTACATAAAGAAACCCAGCCATTTAATAAATATATTTAAATATATGACTACGGAAAAAGACTGTTTCGGCTTAACAACCAAGAGATTGGAAAATAATCTGGAATTAACCGACCTAATTCTTCATTTCAAATTGAACTCATCTTAATCAGCAAAACTATAATGAGTCTTTCTGGGAAAGGATGGATACATAAATGCAATACAAAAATATACGGAACTTTTTAAAATTTTACTTTTTCATAAGATCATTATTGCTGTTGTTCCTCTCCATTTTAAGACGAAATACGAAATGGACATACGATAGATTCATTAAAATCTCACTACTAATCCAAGCAAATTCAGCATAGAAGAAACAAGTGGACCTTGTTTGGGAAAAGTTGGTTACAGAAATATACAATACGCAGAAAAATTCATTAGCTTTCGGGAGGGGGGACGAAAGCACGGATAAAATTGCCATCAATATTCAGGCAAGCTTCTGCTCTTAAATAAAATATGGGACAGGGGAAGAAAAAAAAAAACAAACCCGATAGTTGAGGAGGAATGGATTACATCTTCGCAGCAACATTATAACAAATCCTCAGGTCTGATGCTAACATATCAATTGCTGATGACCTCTTACTTTCATCGAATGATCAATGACAGGCAGTTATGGTTGTGGGGAAGGGGGGTCAAGAGGGTGAAGAGAAATGGCAAACGTGTTAGATCGATGCAGGTTTTAATGACGGCCCGCTATTATTGTTGTTTACTAATAATTACAATAATGACGAAAATAATAAGTTCGGCTCATTATCTTCGAACAGAAACTATCTGCACGGCGATTACGGGTACAGTTTTGTCTGGGAATGATGCGTTTGGAAAGGATAATGACGCCGTCGATTTATGTTAATGAGAACCTCCAATGAATCCCTGGAAAACTTTGCTTCACGTAAGAGTCTCAGAAAGAAATCGCGCAAGCACGAAAGAATGATTTTTGTTCCATTTCCAAAACTGTCAAGAACTGCTGCAAAGGCGATTCAGTATTTTACACAAATAATTTAAGCCGTCATCCATTTTCTCGCATTAAGTTGTCCAGACAGCATTAGAATTTACATTTTATTAAGTCCATGGAACCAGACACGGTAAATATCAAAAGAAAATGCAGAATAAATTATATCTCAATTTAAAATGTGTTTCGAAAATCACATGAAACATTCCAATTAGCAATTACAGACGTGCGTTATATTATTACTTACTAATCTGCTGTAATTTAGTGTTAGTTACGCCGGACAATTTTGTTTTTAAAACTGAATTTAAATCAACAACAGTTCTTTGACGTTTCATCTTCAGATTCAAAATAAAAATGGAAGAGGAGTTTCGAGGAAATCTAATCAATATTACGCATACAATCCTCTAGTTCTTTTTAATACACTCGTACAAATAAATCTATACATTATTTTAAAATTTCTTGCAAAAACCTTTTCTTCGCATTTTTGCATGTAGTATTTATTAACTTATAACTACGCTGTTAATTTTTTTTTTTTTAAATTTCAGATAATTCTGAATTCCTAGATTTTTTTCCCCATTGAAATAATTCTACGATTCAAGCAATATTATTAGAATTATCTTTGCTGAAAGTAAAATAGATTCCATAAGACTTAATAATAAATACACCAAATTAATCTACAAAGTTTATGTCACAAAATAAATGCGGCTTGTTATCTAAATATTAATTTAAAAAAAACTAATTTTAGATTAATTTCCAGCTTTTAAGTGATGCGAGTTCGTTACATTGAAACTGAAGTTTAAAGCATGCAAAACATTTTTGCTGATATTTGTGAATATTTATCCTACATCCAATTTTATATTTGATTTCTGGTTTTCATTTAAATGTAATCACAAACCGGGCTTATTCTGTACGGCGAAAGCATGAAAAAAGAATCTAATGCTACGAAAATCGTCGAATAGAAAATCAAATAATAAAGAAAAGGCTAGTGAAATACTTGCAGTCCTTAAAAGTAATAATTGTTTACACTGGGCTTTTTCTAGTTATACAAAATATTGCAGTTCCTTTTAGAAAATAAGAAGACGCAGAGTTCCATTTGATTACCTATCAAATATATCCGGGCTATCTGCTTAAGGGCAAGGATGGCATCGTGGAGGTCTTTCAAAGGGAAACACTCGCATTCACATTACACAAGAAGGAAACTAAGAAAATCAACCACGCAATCAGCCCGTTCCACCGTTTTCGAGCTCGGGTCGAATTGCCAGCATTCAGAGGTCGTAACCGCAACACCGCAGACGGGAAAAATCCGAGTAGCTGAAAATGTCAGACAAAAGCAGTATCACTTAATTCCAGAAGAATTTAACGACATCAACAAAGTAATAAACGGTATTCCAAAACCTTCTTTTATTACTTATATTTACAAAGAACTCTACTCAGGCAATGGATATAAATGGACTAGTATTCGCATATCGGAAAAAAAAAAATTATAATACAATAACCACCCTAACGCGAATTCCTTCAAGGCGAGCACTCGGTTAACATCAACAAAATTTCAATGTAATATGATTTTATAGGACGTTTTATAAGTTAATGCAAATTTCGATTAGCTGAATAACTAACTATATATATATTTTAGCCCGTTTGCATCATTAGAATTTGTCATTTAACACGAACTCTGAACTTTTTTCTTTTTTCTTTCTTTTCTTGTTGTTTCTCTACTAAAACTGCGTTATGAAATGTTTCATCCCGTTTAATTGAAAACCTCTTGTGATACTGGGCAGGTGTACAGCCTGTATCACGCATGATCTGAACTTAACCAATGTAAAGGTTCACCCCCCCCCAAATCAACAAGCGGTTTTTCAGCTTTTGTATCAAGGCATTATTGCAATTATGAAGCGATATTATCGCAAGCGACTTGTGAGAACTGCAATTCAGACTGCCGAAAAGAAGACGGAAATGACAACTTGTGTGTGCTTGATTCAATAAATCTATCGTCGCACCCTGAAAATCCGTGTCATCGCAACACATACAGAACTGTTTTATCAGAGCCTGGAGACATCAAAAGGCTAATCCTGTTGATGAGTTAGTTGGTGATAACTGATGAATGGAATACTCTACAAGACGTTGCAAACCCCGATGCTAGTTTTGAGGAGTTCGTCATGACGATAACTGCTGTTTTTCCTCCATTGGAATCTGATGTTCAAGAAGTTATGTATGAGGTGCAAGAAATGTCATTAGAAGAGAGCGGGGAGAACGGTATCATTCCACCCAACCTTCAGGAAGTCTTACACGCCTTGGACACTTCAGAACGTTTTGGTGCAATCTCCGAATTGACCGCTAGTTTTGAGAGAACGATGAGTACAGTTGGTCTAAAGTTAACAGGCATTTTTGTTCCCGTCTGGAACAGCTCCTTGTACAGAAATTTTTCCACAGAAAATGATCGGTGAATACATATTTTCAAGTCACAGTACAGTAATTAACGTAGTACTGTTGTATTTTCTATGACGACATACGTATTATATTATAGTTCTTATATAACTATATACTGTAAACGGTTTATGTGTAGAAAAAATTATTCCAAAAATAAAATTTGAGTTAACACGAATTTTTTTAAGACGAATTTAAGAACTGATTTTTTGATCCCACGAGATTCTTGTTAACGAGGGTTTACCGTATACATAAATGTTGACAAAATGAGATACTGAGAGCATTAAATGAGATATTTTAGGGTGGCTATTTAATTAGGAAATAACTCCTGCATTACAAATCTGATCAGCACTGAATCTGATTAAAAAACTACATGATAGATTAAGACACAGTTCATAAAAATTTCTCAGCAAAGTTTAATTAGAAAATGATTACAAAAAATGATAGATGATCTTCAGTCTGCGTTTTCAGCGTTCTGATACTGGGAATATCAAGGTCATTGGGGTTTCAAAATGCCCGATGATTTAAAAAAATAAAGCTTGATGGCACTAAAAAACCTGATG